TAAACACAAGAGCTTGGCAGAGGTTTCTCACGCAAGCACATGACCTTCAGAAATCAATGGTTATCTAAATACTTCAAGTTTTTTTTTTTTTGCTTCTTCAACTTGGAAACTTGTCTGCGACGGTTTGCTTGGTTGCTTGTTTTGAGAGATGTGTGTTGTTGCGCAGTTTGTATTTCAATTTTTGTTTTTGTTTTTGTCTGTCTGTTCGTGTATGTGATGAGCGGGTATGTTGTGGGAGTGTTATGTTGTTGGTGGAGGTTGTCATTCTCCGTTGTTGTGTCTGTTCTTTATTTTGTTCTTTGTCTGCACTTACGTTGTTGTCGTTGCTATCACCTTGTCTGTTTTGTTCGTAGATGTGTGTGTGTTTGTGTGTTTGTGTGTTGTTTGTGTGTGTGTTGGTTGAGTGTGTGTGTGTGTGTGTTGTGTTGTGTGTGTGTGTTTTGTGGTGTTTGTGTGTGTGTGTGTGTGTGTGTGTGTTTTGTGTGTGTGTGTGTGTGTGTGTGTGCATTTGTGTGGTGTGTGTTTTTTATATTCTTCATTCACTTAGGCATTGCTTTAAATGGAGACGAATTGGAAGGTTATGCAATAAGTGAAATTAGATAAAAAAGGAAAAAAAGAAGGAAATGATAGATTAAATAAATAAACAAATGAATATATACACATACACACATATACGCATATATACGCATATATGTATATATAATACATACATGTACATACATACGTACACACACACACACACACACACCACACACACACACACACACACACACACACACACACACATCATATATATATATATATATAATATATATATATATATATATATATATCATACATACACACACATATATAAGTAGTAATAACAGTAAAAACTTCATTCTTATCAAGCGTTATACCTAACCATGCTACGGCACTGGCATTGATAAAATGCCTTTTGGTTAATAACACACGCAATAACACCTACCGTAGTAATAGCAGTTGCAGTATTACAAACATTTATGATGAATCTAACAAACCAATATAACACTAAAGATCAGTTACATAACAAAACACCTACAACTATTGATCGTATATATCTCTCTTCTCTCTCTCTCTCTCTCTCTCTCTCTCTCTCTCTCTCTCTCTCTCCTCTCTCTCTCTCTCTCTCCTCTCTCTCTCTCTCTCTATATATATATATATATATATATATATAAATATATATATATATATATATATATAATATATATATATATATATATATATATATATATATATATATATATATATATATATATATATATATATATATATATAATATATATATATATATATATATATATATATATATATATTATATATATATATATATATATATATATATATATATATATATATATATATATATATATATATATATATATATACATACATACATATACGCAGTTTATATAATTCTCCTGACAAATGATTGCACGTATCATTTTTTTTTTTATTCTTTAACAATTGTCTCAAGAAAAATGGAGAAGAAAAAGGCAAGGTCGAGAGAGCCTGACATTCTCTGTTGCATGCAAATGGTCGTGCACTCAATACCCTGATAGACTCTAACCTCACGCACGCAAAGATCTGAGGCAAAAGGGAGTTATATATCGAGAGTCATGCAAGTTTATAAACATATGTAACAAGTTTCTAGACATATGTAACGTACAAGTTTATAAACATATGTAACGCACAGGTTTATAAACATGTAACGTACAAGTTTATGTAACCTACAAGTTTCTAGACATATGTAAACTACAAGTTTCTAGACATATGTAACGTACAATTTTTTGACATATGTAACGTACAAGTTTATAAACAAATATAAAGTACAAGTCTATAAGCATATATAACGTACACGTTTACAGACATATGTAACTTACATGGAAACAAACAAACAAAATAACATACACATATAGACACACGGTCATAAGAATGTCTATACACACATCCACGCATACATACACCTATTCCCACACACGTACACAGACACACATATACACGTGATTTTTTTTATTCATACTTACACAAACCCACATGAACATATATACCGAGAAACATATCCTTAACATATAGATATATAATTATTCATAAACATGTACACATAAACATTTACGTACACAGATGTACACAAATGTCGTTGCATGAGGTTATGTTATTCATTTGCATATACATATACGGATAATAAAGGATGT